GTTTTATATATATGTGGTTCAGTGAGTTTATGTGGCCTCTTGGCTTGTTTCTATGGAAAAAACAGCTTGAGAGGTTTTCCTTTTAAGCTTTGAGGAGTGAACTTTGCCCTACTTTTTTACCCCAGAAGTTTTGTTACGTTTACTGGGCAAAGTGTGAACAACTTAGGTTGATACTTTCTGTCTGGTCCTGGGCTACAGCCTACCCTGTGATAGCTATACATCTTACAGGAGTTGTTCAGTATACCATGTAAGTGAAGTGATTATAGACTATACAGATGAAGTGATTATAGTCTATGATGCAAATGACATATTTGTGGCCTTACCAAGAAGGAATCGGTCAGTTTGTGGCCCCGGTGGAGGGGCCATATCTTGAAATTGATGAGGAATTTGTGTACATATATATGTAGCGAACCTCACAAAGTTTTTTCAGATAGGAAGCAGGCAGAAACAGAAGGAAGAAAGAATAGAGAAGAAGCAGAGAGAAAGGGGGCAATGAACCTCTTGAAAGAGCTATAACACGGGTGAGGGGCTGTAGCGATGAAGACAGCAAGAGGCCCCAAAGGGGCCCAGTGGCATAGCTGGTGGTGACAGGCCTGAAAGGGGCCCTGAGACAGTTGGTAGTGACAGATGGCAGGGCCAAGAGGAGCCTGTTCTGAGGGGGCTGAGGGGAGGCATGTCCTGAGGGGGCCTGTCCTGAAAGGACCATGGGGGATGCCTGTCCTGAGGGAACAGAGAGGTAGCCTGTCTTGATGGGGCTTAGAGGGGTGTGCACAGTAGAGAGCAGGGCCTGCTTGTTTGCATGGCCGAGAGGAGCTGAAAGCTGTCTTGCGCTAAAGAAGGGAGACTTTTCCTACATACTTCCTGATCCCGATCCTAATCTCAAGTTGTAGCGTCTTGATCCTGATCCCTAGTTGTATCCTGTTACTTCTTTAATAAACCACTTAACCGTAAGTGTGGTCTGTGAGTCCTGTGTGGTCATTGTAACGGATTATCAGACCCAGCAGAGAAATAAAGAGTGCCATGGGAGGGACGGCTGGTGTCAGAATTGGTAAATGGTTGGAGAGTGGAGTTATGTCTGACCTCCACCTCATAGGGATCAACTTTGGCCTCATCTTGATTCTCATTATCCCCTCTGAAGTTAAGACAGGTTCTGACGGTGTTACTACCACTTTACGATAACAATTATTTATTTGACATTTTAAAGCACTTATAATTTGTACAAGTGATTGAAATTTTTTTATTCTTCATTTAGTCATTGCTTTGATTTGCTTTTATGGAAAATTATATGAAACTGAAAGATACTATTTTTATCCACATTACACACACATTTTGCATCCTACATGCTGTTACTACAATGTAACTGATGTTCCTCCCACTGAGAGGTGGCATCTGTTTTTCCTACCCTTGTATCAAGGAAGGGGCGGGGCTTGGGATCTCACTGACCAGTAGAAGTGGGAGTGATGCTTTTTGACTTTTGAGGCTAGATTACAAAAGGATATAGTTTCTTCCTGGTTCTCATTTGACCTCTGTTCTCTCTCTGTCTCTCTCTGCTCACCCTTGGAGAAGCTACCTGTAGGTGTTCCAGTTCATAGACCTAGCTAAGGTCTCAGCGGAGAGTGAGCGTCAACCACTAGACATGAACAACCCTTCAGATAATTCAGATCCCCCACGTTTGAGACACCCTAGCTAATGCTGACTTGAGCAGAGACACACTGTCCCCACTAGGCCCTGCGCAAATTGTGGATTCATATGCTAAATAAATGTTGTCATTGTCTAAGTCTTCCTTTCTCACAGAAGTCAGTAACTTTCCTGTATACTAGTAATAACGAGTGTTATCGTTGTGTGTGCCATCAAGTCGATTCCAACTCAGTGACACTATAGGACACAGTAGAACTGCCCCATAGGTTTTTCAGGCTGTAATCTTTATGGGAGCAGATTATTAGGTGTTTTCTCCCACGGAGCAGCTGGTGGGTTTGAACTGCCTACTTTTCAGTTAGCAGTCAAGCGCCTAACCATTGTGCCACCAGAGCTCCTAATAACCAGTAGATTACGCAAAAAATCCAGTTCACATAGCAAGAAAGCCTTTAAGGTTTCTGAGAATAAACTTAGTATACTGTCATGAACAAAAATTATAAAATGAATTAAAATATGAAATACAACGTGAATGGAGAGAATAAACAGGTAACAATTTGTTTTTCAGGCATATAGATATATTACAAAGCTATAGTAATTGAAGTTTTGATACTGTCTCAAGGATAGATGAATGGTTTCGTGAAACAGAATGAGGATCTAAAGGAGACCCACAGATGTATGGAAGCTTGGTTTATGGTAGAGTATTACAAATAAATGTAAAAATAAGCATGATAGTAAATCTGTTATTTTTCCACTTGAAAAAAATTAAATTTCTATAGCACACGGCAGCCTAATAATTGTGTTTTATACTTTGCAAAAGTATTCTTAGCTTCTCATTCACTTCCAGAAAAATTGAACATTTTAGTTTAGAAACTTCTGCATCATATTCCATCAGTAAAACATTGGATACTCAATTTGTGTGTGTTAGATTAATAGTGTAATTATAGTTTTTAGATGTTCTATTTACACCCTAAAATTACAAAGAAATCTTTATTTTTTGAGTCATAAAATTGTGTATCTTTTCCCTTTTTTTTTATTAGGAACTGAATGAATAATTTCTTTTGTAAGGATCAGCACAAAGCTGGTTCCTATGAGGTGGAGGTTAAAGATGTTCCAAATGTCCAACTTTTCCAAACTGCTGGACCACTCCTTCATCTCTAAAATCACCTATTCCTTCTTCCCTCAGTACTCTCCATCCCGTCTATGGGTTCTGTAATTCTCTGCAACATCTCACAAAACTCACGAACTGTCAAGGAAATGGCTCACACGGTTGTGGAGGCTGGCAAGTTCCAAATCCATGGATCAGACGTCAGGCTGGAGGCTTCTCCTGACTCACGTGGTTGCATGATCTGACAAACCCAAATCGGCAGGTCAGATGACAGGCTGCTGGCTCACAAGGCTGCGGAAGCTGGTTAGTCATGTTAGATGACAGGCTGTTGGTGCAGGTTCTAAGAACTGGAGGTCAGTTGATGGATAGCTGGACGTAGGATCCAGAGCAAGAGAGAGATCTTTACCCAAGCATTCACATGTATATTGAATGCATACAATACCCTCAAGGAAGCTCCCCTCAAGCAAGGTGGTGCAAGAGTGTGAGTTGAATAAGGGTGGTAATTGGGGTAAGGGTGGTGACTTGAGTCACACCCTCTAGTAAGGTGGTCACTCAAGATACATCCCAGGCTAATCCTGTCTCATTAACATAACAGACAACTCACTCCCAAATACGACCATAACCACTGGCACAGAAGCTAGGATTTACAACACATCATAAAATGGAGAATAATTGCATGAGATTACAAAATGGAGGACAATTACATCAGACTACAAAATGGAGAATGAGTGCATTGTTGCATAACTGCCAAACCACTGTAAATCGTGGTCCAGTCAAGTTGACACATAACCATAACTATCCCAGGTTCCATGCATCTTATTTGCATTAGCAGCAAGCCGTTCAATCCCCTTGGTGGGCCACAAATGCTTATTTGCATAGTCCCAGAAGGGCCATAGTAAGTAATCAATCCATTGTACCACAGGAATTAATAATTTTGTTTCCTTGAAATTAGGTGGAATTTATGATTATTTACTGAGGATTTTTGCAGTAAGCCGAAAGAATAAAGATGTGATACAGAATAGAAGACACCTGTTCTAGACTGGGTGAGGGGAGTGGTAGGCAGGAGTGGAGGGGCTCTGTAGGGCATTTATCAAGAAATGAATAATTTATGTTTAACTTGTGAAACTATCTGGTGCCTAACTTTTTAAAGTGATTTTTCTCATATGTGGTTACATGAGCAAAACCCTAACTCAATTTTTGCTGTTAAAGCACTTGTTCTTTTTTTGTTTTTCTTTTAAGTATGTTGCTGTTTTTACCTGAATTCTTAGAATAACGTCTCATTTGGGGGATGAAACCTGGCGAAGTAGCTCAGTGCCTAGTGCAGATGTGCCCTTCTGGAATTTCTTCCATTGTGGAATACAGAGAACTTCCAGAGTCCTAAAATGAAATTGAGGCCTGGAGGTTGTAGCTAAGCATTTGTGCCTCCAGAAATAAGTTTCAAAGATTTTTCTGGGCTCAAAAATAAAGTAACAGGAACAAAGTATGAGGGAGTCGCTGGGTGGTGCAAACAGTTAAGTGCTCAGCTCCTAACAAAAAGGTTGGTGGTTCAAATGTACCCAGTAGTGCCTCAGAAGAAAGTCCTGGTGATCTACTTCCAAAAGATCACAGCCATTGGAAACCCTATGGAGTACAGTTCTACTCTGAGTCACATGTGGTCACCATGGGTCGGAATCAACTCTGTGGCAACTGATTTGGGTTGTTTTGTTTAGGAGGTTGAACATGAAATAGATAAAAAAATTTTAAGATAGGAACTATAAAATTTAGTTGGATATAGTAAGTTTCATCAGAAATTTGTGTATGATGTGGCTAATCTTAGGAAATGGGGTTAACCATAGGAGAATAATGTTTTATTTGGAGGATAAAACCTGGTCATGCTAGATACACCATTAATTCTAAGTTATGTGAAGTATTTAATATTTGCTTATTGGTGCTGAATATAGCATAATTGACAACAAAAGTACAGGCTTTCGTGCCTCTAGGACCTTGATTCAGCCCTGGGGTCTATCACTTACTAGCTTGGCGACCTCTGGCACGTTGTTTAATCTCTCAAAGCCTGTAATCCCTGGAATATGATATGGAGGGATTTATCTTCCCTATCGTTGCTGTGAGGATCAGATGTGACAGTGTATGTAAACAAGACGTTTTGCATAGTGCTTAGTATAAACACTCAATAAATGCTAGTTTGTATTGGCTGGGAAAGTATTTGTCTTGCTATATAAAATCTAAGAGGAGTATTAAAATATATTTTTGTTATTTTAAGGAAATTCGAAATGAGTCCCATGACTACCCTCATAGAGTGGCCAAGTTTCCAGAAAACAGAAATCGAAACAGATACAGAGATGTGAGCCCATGTAAGTACTTGTGGGTGTGTGCATGTGTGTGTCTGGTGGTTGGTTTGAGGAGGCAGGATTTGGTGAAAAGGAAGGTTTGGGACCAGGACTGATAAGTATGGTAATTTTTTTAATTTTAAAGTAATACATATTCTTTAAAGAAACTTTTTACGGCATAGAGTAGTAGAAGAAAAATAACTCATTATTTCATCTTTCAAAAACAGTTACCATTATTTTGCTATATTTCCTTCCAGTTTTTTTCCTTTTTTTATGCATAATTTTTTTAAAGATAATCATACTGGGCATGTGTATTCATATATGTACATATATCTATTTCTTTTCCTGTTATTCCATGGTCTTTGTTGCTTAAAAGTATTTATTAGTGTAGTTTTTTCCCCCCCAAATTACAAAAGTATGTGTACTCAAATGGCAGAAAACCTGTAAAACACAGAATAAAGAAAAAAGCGAGTAATTTTAAAAACATAAAAACTTTTGAGTTTATGTCCTTTTGGTATTTTTTTCTGAAGAAGTGTATACATATATTGTTTTTTTCTTCCAAGTTAAAATTCTGTACATACTAATTTGTAGCTCTTTTCCTAGTTTGCAATACACTGTAAACATATTGCTGTCATAAAAAGTTTTTTTAGTGGCTTTGTAATAGCCCATTGAATGGAGATACCATTCTTTTACATAATAGTTCTCCTATGGTTAAATATTTAGGTTGTGATAAATACATCTACAGTTGTTCACGAAGCGTGTGTCTATATATATATATATATAGTGAAGTTATAATACTAGGATTTTCAAAATGTGTCATCATGAGGTAATTTTGTTTTTCCAAGGATACATAGTGTTTTTGTTGTGAATGATACCACTCATTCAGACATTAAATTGCATTGCCTTCCTACTTCAAAATGTTTCCCCATATTTTGTTTTAGCAGGCTAAAGTTAGACTTCGTTTTTGTGTCTGCTTGTTTAAAAATTGAATATCATATTTTGGTTTCTATTTGTGGTTCTGTCCTCGAGTTGACTAGTGTATGGTGCTGATATGCTAAGGTCTCCTGTATGGGCTGAATGATTTTACTCTGTCCAAGGCCACAGAGTCCATACCTCTGCTTGCTACCTTGGCATTGTGTTCTATGATTATAGGTCAGGTACTTAGGAGGGTATTGATACACCACTGAAAATCCATCCATAATTGGGAGGGGGGATTTATTCTAAGAGCAGAATGTTTTTCTTCATGTTCACCATGTACATGTGTTGGCTGATTTTGGGAAACTCAAATGAGAAGCAGTGTCTTAAAATATTTCATGTTTATTATAGATTATTAAATATTATGTTTTTCTTACACGTTTTTTTCTTACCATTTACAAGTGTTTGTAAAGTAGATAGAAGAGTGGTTTTCCACTTTTCTTCAGTTGCAGGTCACTTGACAATATGACAGACTTTCTACAAAATTCTGGGGCTCACCATGGCAGCAGTTCTGGTGTGGGTGTTTGTTCAGGGAGTGGGGATGTGGACAGTACTTCCAATAGTTCTGTGCCCTGTCACCCTCTCAGAATCTCCAGTTGGGAATCACTGAGCTAGAGAGACTGATTCTCTAGTGTTTACCATGAGTTTTGAAGACTGTACTTTCCAGTTGTACACTTTATTGTCTTTAATTTTTTTATTGTTGTAAAAATACATATAACAGAACACTTGCCAATTCAATGTGCTTTTAATTTTTTAAAAAATTTTCTTATTCTGAGAATTGTAGATTTGCGGGCAATTGTAAGAAGTAGCATAGGGAGATCCAATATACCCTTCACCCAAATTCCCGCAAAGGTCATGTTTTGCAGAACTATGATTCAGTGTCGCAACCAGGAAATAGGACGTTGTTACAGTCCGTAGAGAGTTCACCAGTTTTACGTGCACTCATTTGTGTGTGAGTGTGTGTGTGTGTGTGTGTGTCTGTCTGTCTGTCTGTAGTTTGCTGCAGTTTTATCACATGTAGATTTATGTGGTCACCACCACAGTCCAGATACAGAACAGACAGCTCTATCACGAGGACCCCGTGCTGCCCTTTCATGGCCACAGCACCTTTCTCCCTTTTTCCTTCTCTCATCCTTGGTGTTAACTTTCATTTATATATTTGTTTTAATTGCGGTCAGTGAATGTTCTAAGCCACATTTGAATTCCCTCATTAGTTTTATCAAATTGATCTAGGTAGAGAAATTAAAAAAATATTGGAACTGAGACACTTTCTTAAAAAGTAAGGCATTTGTAACTTTAGTTACTCTCAGTTATGCAGGTCAGTAACACTATTGTGACTTGTCTCCTAAACTTTAGATTTATATGCCCAACTACCTGTTAGCTCCAATGTAATGCTTTAAGGAGACCTCTGTTTAAAATGTATTTATTAGCCCCACTTCTGTCATCATTAGAACCCATATGTTTTCTTCCTGTATGCCTTTTCAGTGAAGAGAACAGGTAGCCTTGTGTACATACCTTGAATTAGGGAAGAAACATTTCTTTCTCTGAGAAAGTAGTATTCTGTGCTTCCCTCCTTCCTAACTGGTCCTTCTACTGCTGTCTTTCTTGCCTGCTTTCCAGAGTCCTCTGGAACTGTACTCTACTGTAGACTAAAAGCTTTTCTTTTTCCCTCAACTTCTTCAAGGAATGCTCTCCATGTCTTTGCCTTAGTGGAAGCCTGGTTCTCCCTGAGTAAACCGTCTTCTGTCTTTCTCTCTTTCTCTCTGATTTGCATCTCTCTGATGGGTAATGACGTTGAGCATCTTTTCATGTGTTTGGTGGCCATTTGAATGTCCTCTGTGGTGAAATGTCTGTTCGAGTCCTTTGCCCATTTTATGATTGGGTTGTCTTTTTGTTAATTTGTCAAAATTTTACAGATATTTTGGTTAGTAGATTCTAGTTGGATATATGGTTTCCAAAGATATTCTCCCAGTCGGTAGCTTGTCTTTTCACTTTTTTGTTAAAGTCTTTGGATGAACAAAAGTTTTTAATTTTTATGAGGCCCCATTTATTTTTGTCTTTTGCTGTTTATGTTTTTGGTATTATATTAGATGCTCCATGGTTGAAAGCTAGGCCTCATTATGTTGTCCCTGCTTGTTCTTCTAAGAATTTTATGGTTTTAGTTTACAGATTTAGGTCCTCAGTCCATTTTGAATTTGTTTTTGTGTCTGGTGTGAGACATGGATCCTGTATCATTTTTTCTGCATGTGGAAATCTAATTTTCCCAGCACCGTTTATTAAAGAGACTCTTCTTTCCCCATCAAATGGACTTAGCACCCTTGTCAAAATTTATGTGACCAAAGATGTGTGGGTTCATTTCAGGACTCTGATTCTCTTCCATTGGTTTATGTGTCTCTTACACCAGTACCAGGCTGGTTTGATTACTGTAGATGTATGTTCTTTTCTTGCAACGTTGCTTTAGCTATCTGGGGGCTCTTGCCATTCCATATAAAGTTAATTTTTTTTCTATTTCTGTAAAGAAGGCCATTGTAATTTTGATTGGGATTCTTTTGAATCTATAAATCGCTTTGGATAGTATCGACATCTTAACAATGTTAAGTCTTCCAATTATGAACGTGTAACATTTTTTCAGTTAGTTAAGTATTTTTTAATGTTTTTCAGCAGTGTTTTATACTTTACATTCTATAAGTCTTTAAATGTCTCTGGTTAGATTTATTCTTAGGTATTTTATGCTCTTAGATGCTATTGTAAATGGAATTGTTTTCCTAATTTTCCTTTCAGATTACTCATTGCTGCTGTATAGAAACCTGATTTTTGTTTGTTGACCTTGTACCCTACAAATTTGCTGAATTCCTGTTAGCTCTAGAAGTTTTCTTGTGGACTCTGGGATTATATATAGGATCATATCATCCACGAAGAGAAAATTTTACTTCTTTTTCAATCTGAATACCTTTTGTTTTTCTTGTCTTATTGCTCTGGTTAGTACTTCTAATACAGTATTGAATAGAAGTGGTGAGAGTGGGCACTCTTATTTTGTTCCCAGTTTCAAGGGGAGAGCCTCTCAATCTTTCTCCATTAAATGTGATGTTGACTGTTGGCTTTCCACATATGCCCTGAATCATATATATTTCCTCTTTTTTCCAATCTTCTTGAGGGTTTTTATCAAGAAAAGGTGTTGGATTTTATCAAATGCTTTTTCTGCATCCATAGAGATGATCTTGTGTTTCTTTTGCTTTTTTCTATTGCTGTGGTGTATTACATTGATCAATTTTTCTAATGTTGAAGCATCCCTGCATTCCTGGAATAAATTGCACTTGGTCATGGTGTATGACTCTTAATATGCTGTTGGATTCTGTTTGGTAGTATTTTGTTGAGGATTTTTGCATCTATTCCTAAGAGATAATTGGCCTGTAGTTTTCTTTTCTTGTGGTGTCTTTATCTAGTTTTGGTATCAGGATTATATTTACTTCACAGAATGAATTAGAGAGTATTCTTTCCTTTTGTTTCTTTTGGAAGAGTTTAAATAGTATTGGTGTTAATTCTTCTCTAAATGTTTGGTAGAATTTTCCAGTGAAGCCATCTAGTGCAGGGCTTTTTTTGTCATTGTTGGGATGTTTTTGATCATTGATTCATTCTCTTGTTACAGATCTGTTGAGACTTTTATTTTCTCTTGGGTCAGTTTGGGTAGGTTATGTGCTTCTAAGAGTTTGTCCATTTCATCTAGGTTATCCAGTTTGTTGCCATACAGTTCATAATACTGTATCATAATTCTCTTTATTTCTGGCACTTCTGTTGTAATGTTCCCTTTTTTATTTTTTATTTCCATTATTTATATCTTATCTTTTTTAGTCTAGTTAAAGGTTTGTTAGTCTTATTGATCTTTTCATAGAACCACCTTCTGATTTTATTGAGTCTCTCTATTGTTTTTCTGTTTTCCATTTTATTTATTTCTGCTCTGATCTTTGGTATTTCCATTCTTCTGGTAGGTTTAGGCTTAGTTTGCTTTTCTTTTTCTAGTTCCTTGAGTTTTCGAGTTAGGCTGTTAATTT